TAAGATAATAAAATAATAAATAATAAAATACAATATCAAAATAATAAACTAATAAAATAATAAACTGTTCTATAACAGTATTATATCATTTTTTACTAGCTCTCTTTTTTCGGATAAGCCAGAGATCAGAACAAGACAATTTTGTTTGCGTTCATCTTTTGGCCTATAAATTAATAGGATTGAAATTTTGGGATATTTTGTACAATGAAGCTTAAGACATATTTGTAATACAAGTCTTTGAAAAAGTCAATATGCTGATAGAATTCGATTTGAGGAAGACTATTTCTTTTCAAGATATTTCTATTTTTCTATAACTAGAATTGCTCTATGAAATAATTCTGATTGTATTCGATTATTTTTATGACGCATTCCCTTTTTGAGTTTACATAATTTAGGACATTTGAACAAATAGTCAGTCAAGACTTCCTCATAGTAATCAGCTCATTTTTTTAACCAGCTATGAGGCATTTCTTCGAAGAATAGTAGAGGCTAGATATTATTATTACAACAAATTATCTGACATTTTTGCTCTAATAAGTAATCGATAAACTTTTCTAAAATATGTTTAGATACTGTATATTCTTCATTCTATATAACAACTCACAAAAATTTTTTTTCTTCTATACATTCAGGAGTCCACTCTTCTACACTATTCTATCTAAAGAAACTATGCCAAGTTTGGGCTTTTACCTTACGGTCATTTTGGAAGTTTTTGGCCAATGTATTTGTATAAGTGAAAATAACCATATTTATGTTTTTAAAAATTTTAATAGCTCGTATAGTATTTGTAGTTAATTTTCATTAGTCGATTTTATCAGCTTAGCCAGCTTAGTTAGCCGATTTTTTAAAAAATCAGCTTAGTTGATTTTATGTTATATTATATTAAAAATTATAGTAACTAATCAAATTTAGACTGATTTGGTAGTTTATTATCCTTTTCAAAACAAACATAAAATATAAGACAAAAATTTCTAAAAATTAAACAAAGATAATTGACTTCAGTTTTAAATATCGACTTAGTCAAGTCGATAAATAATGATCGACTACAAATACTAGTACGTATGAACATACATATCTGGTACGTACGTATATAATATAGAATAACTTTCTTCTGATTGGCTAACCACTTACAATTGTATTTATATAGTTTAAAGTACTTTTTAAGAATATAACATTTCACAAGTAAAAAATAAAAATTAAACCTGTCTCTAACTTCAAAGAAGTGCCAATAGTTACTATACAAAATAATCCCAAATAATCTCACACCTAGAGGTACCTTACTTAGAAGGTAAAATTTTTAAATATATCATAACTATAGAACTATGTGTAATTACTAAAATGTTGAATATACCTGGATTATTGAAAAAAAACTAAAAGTACAACTTTTTTTTTAGAAATAGATAAAGTGATTTCTAAGCTATATTGAAGAGATTTTGAAATATAAAGAATATTAATATATAAGAGCAGAATTAGTAACAAGTATTTAAAACTTTATATACGTATATATATAGAAATTACTACAGAGCTTTAACATGTCTTATTATAACGAGCTCTAGTATAATAAACTATAGACCCTTAAATATTATATTAGTTTAATATAAAAGGGTATGATAGCATTTAAAAAAAATATATGTAAGCCTTTTTTCTTCTTTATTTTTTTATGAAAGTGAAGAAATGATAAAGAATTAAATTTACAAATATAATATAGTTTGATTGATTGATTATCACATATTGCGTCAATGGCTAATCATAACATGTTATTCAATTTTATGTGATCAACCAATCATGAGAAAGTTATTCTATATATATACATATGTGTACGTGCCAGATCCAATAAATAATTAACCAATCATATCTATTTTAAATCATATGCCTTTAATTAACCAATTAGGATAATCGACTACAACTTAGCCGACTAAGCTGATTTTTAAATATCGACTTAGTCTAGTTGATAAATTTGGATCAACTATAAACACTAAGCTCGTATTATTTTACCAAATCTACCTCTTCCATTGAGATATGAATTTCGATATCGCATAATAAGATTATGAATTGATGGAGTCGTACTATCTGGAATATTTTTGATTGATTCCTAATATCTATTCTTTGGCCAGTATATAATATTAGCAACTGGTCTATATATTTTTTACCCTTATTATACTATTGACCAGGTTGAATTTCCCAAACTTCTTGTTCTTTTTGCTGATTTAACTGCTTTTGACAAGAATCTAATTTATAAAACTATTCTCCAAAGCAAAATCTGCAAACAAATAGAGTATGCCTTTTATATTAATATTTTGCTAGAGACCTTTTTGTTTTTAGAAACTCTTTAATCCATTTTGTATATTCTGATTTTGAAATAAGAAATTTTTCTGGATCACTACATATTGCACAAGAAGGATAGTATGAATATAAATTTGGATCTGACTTTACCTCAACTTGGTTAAAGAATGCCGGTATATTTTTGATCTTATATAATGCCTCTTTTCGTATATATATAAAATCTGTAGCAATCCTTACTACTTCATTAGGATTGAATCTCCAAAGCATCTCTAACAAATTAATATGTGCATATGCTAATATTGAAGCCCACAAATATGTATACTGAGGCTGATGACCCTCAAAATATGTAAGTATAAATCTGAGTAGATATCTTTCTCTTCTAGCAAAAGTTCTAGCATCTGTACAATCTTTTATTAAGAAATTAAGTTTACTTTCATCTATTATAAAACAATGAATAAGTCATTTTTCTTCATTTTTTTTGCTTTGTGTAAACTTACCTATAATTGTACAACTAATATTTTGATTTTTTGGTAACCATACTTTAGTCTGCCATGTAAGAGAGATAATTGCTTCCCCAATAGTTAAGTCTTCTGGAATACCAGTTTCAAGAAGATATTGTAATAATACTATTGAAGCCTATCTTTTATTTTTTATGCATCCTTCTCTACTATGATATACAAAATGTTTTCCATACCAAACTGGAATTACTAGATGTATGTTAGAAGTGAAGAAATTTATCTGTGCAAATCTAGTAATATCATCTTGAAGCAATTTTCTATTTACTGCAACTTAGACAAGATGATATGTTGGATATCCAAATCAATTAAACCATAGTGCATATTTTTCTTGACCTCGCATACTTGCTAGATAGCATTCTTTCATATTAATACATATGATGTTATTAATGTGATAACTGGGTGCATTCTAGCGTCTACTATACCTATGCTCGACACAAGCTTGTCTTATAACGTCATTTATTTTTCAAGATATTGGATGCTTTTTATTGATTTCATTAGCAAGTCAGCTTCCAGCATGGTTTGCACCAAATACTTGTTCTACTAAGTCAACTACTTTGAGAGACTCTGAAAGAATTGATTTCTTTTTCTCATTGATTATTTCTTCCTGAAATTGCCAATCTATTGTATCATTAACCAATTGTTTGCATGCTTCTATAATTTCTGTATGCTTTTTCCATGTTCTAAATATATGACCATCTTCCAGAACAAATCAAGATATTCTTTGATTCTTACTTTCTACTCCCATAAGCCAGATAGCTTGAGGACTTTAAAGAGTATTGTTAATAGCTTTCCAAGTATCACTCTTATAATATTCAACTATTCAGTTTCTTGGAAAATGTTGGTTTTGAGAGAATGCATAGTCATTATAAACTACCATCTTAATTTCTTTATACTTACCTGATCGATATTTTTTGCTATTAAAGATAGTACCATGAGTAATATTCAGTAATATAATTGGTCATTTGAGAATTTTTCTAACTTGCTACATCTTGTACTTGAGCACCTGGAATGCGTATTTTTTTTTTCTAATCATTTATTTTTTGCTGACGAATTTCTGTAAGTCTATATCCTCTTTTGGCTTAATCAAAATGCTCTATTACTTATTTAGCTACACAGTTAAGTGCTCCATCTTTCATAGGCATTAATCAATTGATATCTGGTTTTCAGATTCGATATAATCCATAGACTACTGTATTGCTATCAAGTCTTCCTACTTCAGATTGCTCACTAACTTCTCTAACCAAAAATTTTTTATCTATTTCTACTTAAAATCCTGGTTTCGTTTTCTTTGTAAGTATAATATTTGGACCACCTCTGACGTATTTTCCATTTGTCTTTTTTGATTCATGAATAGGCTTATATTTATCAATAATTTTAAAAATGATCTTTGTTTGAAATTCATTTCCAAATACAAAATCATTTCGAATGAATTTTACTCTTATTAAGAACTCACTATTATCGATCATATTTAAAATTTCTTAAGCTAGCTCTTCAGTCATTTTAGCTTTATAATTTTTGAATTCTATTTCTGCAAACTAGGTTGAGAAAGCATATTTAGTCTCATCTACTTTAAACATATCTTTTGTATACTGAATACCATTTTGCTATACTTCATGATGCTTTTCATTTTCTGAAAATGAGACTAGCCAAGATACTTCTATATCCAAATCTAGAAAATGATAAACTTGAGATTCTGGATCATTAGGTTCATTATCTTTTGATTCCATTAAATCAAACCATTCTTTTTCTGTTTTGGGTATAGATCTTAATCTAATTTTTTTATTACTTTTTATTTCTGGTTTTGTTAACCATTTTATTAGCCCATCTATCATTAAAAATTAATTCTTTTTTTGCTTTATATTAGTATTGAAACTTGATTCAGCTTTTATATCTGAAATATCACCTATTAAAAGGTCAACTACTAGTACATTTATGCATTTGGGTAGTATGTTGGTATATTTTCATCAAACAAAATTAGATTATCTATAGAAGTCAGGTTTTTAGGTAATGGTGTATTTTGTATTAAAGTTAAAGCTGATAATGGATCTAGTCTTGCTTCAGAATCTAGTCTTATTTCAGAATCTGGAACTTGCACTAGTACTTGATTAGGTAAAATTTGTCAATGTGAATATTTTCTATTTAAATATATACGTAATTTAACTAATTTAAAAAATTCTTTTCCATATCTATTACAAATATAATTAACCATTAAAATATTATGATATTGTAATTGCTATAAAATACTTATAAAATTTTTTTTATTTAATATATTCTTACCTATATTTATAATATTCGAAGCTAGATTACAGATACAATATAGATGATATAGATATTTAGTTTTTTATTTTATATATTTCTTTTTTCTGAGAGTTGAAAAAAAAAGAGTACTATCAGAGTTTACATTCTAAGACTCTAATGAATGATAAATAGATTATCAAATTTATCTTTTATTTCGACACTCAAAAAAAAAATACTATAGACTATTTATAAGAAAAAAGTATATATCAAATAAATTTTTAATCTGTATTAAATTTGATTTATAAATTTTGATACTCTATCTATAGCATGCAAAAAATTTTATTATCTGGGTACCAAAAAATGCTATAGAATATATTGGGATCATCATTTTTTATATCTATAGTATCTAAATTTTTGGTATAAATTTTTGCTATCAAATTCAACTTTCTAAAAAGAATTCGAAGATAGCTAAATAGGATATCATAACTTTAATCATGCAACCAAATTTTTGAAATCAGCCCACTTTTGAGTAACATGAAAAATTTTAGTACCTTTTCCTCTCTAGTATATAAAAAAAGATTATCCTATCTGTTAACTACATATATCTAGTTTCAAGTATTATGAGATTGGGATAACTAACAATATCAATGTATCAGAATCATCATTTTTTTATGTCTGTGATGATAAATTTTTGATACCAATATGATTGCTATGTGTCAAAAAACCTTACCTTCGATAAAGCAAACACAAAATATTCATCACTCAAATGACAAAGCAAAATAAATTTTAGTATCCAAAAAATTTCAGTACATTAGATATAAAAAAAAGTCTGCTCGCCTTCCCTACTGCTGATATTTTGCAGCTGCTTTAATCTAATTAATATTAATCAAATACTGTATATATCTAAAAATAAGCTACCATTTTTAACCAAAAAGTTATAAAAAAAAATTGTAAATAGCTTATTATTAGATAAAAGTATTTTTTGCTAATTGCGAAAATTTTATTAAGTAAATCAATTATACTTATTAATTTAAAATTATTCAGAAGCAAAAAATATATATTTTAAAAGTTTAATATAAATCAAATAACTTTTTATTAATTGATTTTTGATTTTTACATTCAATACATATAAATTTTAAAGAAATTTTAAAAATTTGTTGAATATAACATGCAAAAATATATTAATAAAAGGTTATTTAATTTAAATAAAACTTTTAGAATATATATATTTGATCTTTTAAACAACTTTTACTTAATAAGTTTTATTGATTTACTTATAGAGTACCTACTAACAATTATTAAGTAACTTATTTTCAAATATAAGATATTTTTACAGTTTACTTTTAAAAAAAAAAGGTAGCTTATTATCAGAGATAGCTTATTTTCAACAATATATGATATTTATAGATAACTTAGCTATATAGTAAAATACAATCAATTAAGATAATATCTAACTAAAGCCTTATTTGATCACTATTTTAAAATAAGATACTGCAAATCTGATAATATCTTTTTATAGAGAAGTAAAAAAACAAAAATTATATAAAAAAATACAAAGGTATAAGAAATACAATAAAATATACAATTAAAAAAATAAAAAGATAAGGTAAGACAAGAAACAAATATAAAATTTTTTATTTATCCTAGATAGTCACAATTTTAAGCCTATATTAGGCTCTATAAAAATTATATACTATTATTTAAACTAGTCTCTACTCTAAATTTATATAATTAGTATATCTAAGCAATGAAAAAAACTAATAGTTAAAAAAAAACTTTTTGATATCAGTATTATAGAGAAGTCAAAAATTAGAAATTTGTATTTAAAGTTTTGGATATTGTTTATCTAGATTGTCATATTTGAGATATATAATTTATTACTCATTATTTGAATTTATATATTTGTTGTAATAAAAAAAAATAAATAATGCTAACTATTTTGGTAATTACAATATCAATTTTTTGAAAAGGTAAACTAAATTATCTACTTTTTAACAAAAATTTTTCTAAAATAAAGTGAAAAACCAACAAGAGTATATGAGGTTCTTTTTGTAAGTTTTATAGTTATATAATCTATTTCTCTATCTTTACTAGATATTCTTGGCTAGAGACTAATAAGCCTTAATATTGTTTTTAGAATAAACTTTCTAGTTTGAATATCAAATATATAAAAAAGTTTGCTAGAAAGAAAATTGATCTAAAACACAAATTTGTTTAATATTCTTATATGCTTACTTATTGATATTTTATATACTAGCTTAAGATTTGTTGCGTTGCTTCAGATTAAAGTATCTTTATATAGAATAAACTAGCAATACAATCAAAATTCAACAACAGATATGACTGTTCAAATTCATAAATAATTTCAATATAATTATATATGAGTATTAATCAATCTAACTCTAACTTTAGCAAATTAGCCAATCAAATTGCAAAAAAAATTATGAGATTCACGATAATTCAAAGAATATATTATCCTTTAAATTGTAACACAGGCAAATTTGCTTGTGTTCATTTTTTAAACTTTAATTTTTGAATAAAATTTTAAATATTAATTTTAGCAATATACTTTCTAAGTAAAATATATTTTAAAGAACTACTTTATTAACTTTGTTAAGAAA